CCGAGAGGAAAAGAGGAAGTCCAGGGACACCCTGTATATTATTCAATTTATTATACGAAATTTAAATAAATTCACACGAAGTTGTCTGAAGTCAAATTACATGTAGTTTTTTTTTCACTTTGATGAAATTAATAAAACACTTTTGTCTAACCAACCAACCAACAAACATCCATTTTTATATAGTAGATTACGAACAGTGAATGGTAGAAACTGATTGGCTTCTTTCTGAATCAAATTTTGAATGAGTTGATTGATTTTTTTTGCAGCGTCAATGGTCGATACAGTTTGACCTTCAACCTTCAAAACAGCTTGGCAAAAACTTGCTGACATGGCGTGTAAAACACAAAGCCATAATTCAGATGTAGGATCTTCCAAAAAATCGTTTATTGATTTATATTTCAGCTTCAGCGCAAAATTCCTTTAGAGCTTCAACTCCAACCGTATAAATATAAAAAATGAATATATTTTTACAATAATGCTTTCGTAATCTAAAGGTAGGCCGTCCGTAGCAGATTTTATAGCATTGTGAATTATATGGGCCACATCCGATACCTATCAACGGTTTTTTTAGAGATGATTTTAGAAAACGGGACTATTTTACGTCCCCGAACATTATTTGGGGACAACGGGACAGATAGTCGAATAAAGGGACAGCCCCGTTCAAAACGGGACTGTCTATGCCCATTATGTTTGGGTTCTAAATACTTTATACGAGTAGGTATTTCTCAACCAGTGTGTCATGAGCTATTTTATAATTTGATTCAGTCAACGTAAAGGTCGGACTAGTGATAACGGTACACCCTGTAAGGAAGATATCAAGTAATTGAATTTCTCAATGTCCCCATTACATCATTATTATGCATCATAGCGTCAAATGAATATGGTTAAGTTGAAAATGTAATGTAATATCCATTGAATTTCATGAGTGCAAGTTTCGGTTAGCAAATATGTACTGACGTTCTCGACGTCATGCTAATTGGCAAAATTGCCGCTACTGATCAAAGAAGAAACCTCACTGGATGAGAGAAGAATACACGCAAAACCCTTAAAAAGTTAATGTTTGGGCAGGAATTGGAGGAAACCATATCATTGGTCCCTTTTTCATTGAGGGCAACTTGGATGGCGATAATTATTTGGCACTACTTCAAAATTATGCCATTCCAAGTTTAGCAAATTTATATCCTGATCCAGGAAACCCTCAAGTTCCAGTAAATAGGATATGGTTTCAGCAGGATGGAGCACCACCACATTAACAAGTTAATGTTCGGCAATACCTCGATACAACATTTCCCAATCGGTGGATAGGGAGGCGAGGATCGATTGAATGGCCAGCGCGATCACCTGATCTTTCATCATTAAATCTCTTTTTATGGGGATATGTAAAGAGCAATGTGTACAAAACTAAACATTCAGATTGGAATGACTTGAAAGAAGGAATAACGCTTGCGATTAGGTCGGTCACGCATGATATGTTGAATAATGTTAGAGGACAGTTTTGAGATTAGGATTTTGCAAAGCATTTCGCGGTGAACATTTTGAACGTCTACTTCGTTAACATCCATAGTTATTTTTCGTATTCTACATTTCATTAAGTTTTGCATTACATTTTTTTTCACAAACTACACTTAAACGATTTGATCTCCACTAACTTTATTGAAAATAATCATAACATGTTTCGCTAAAACATTAGCTTTTTCAAATGATTAATACATCCAAGCATCCTTACATTCATATTTATATACTACAGGTAACCACAATCGAGACTACCTGTAAGAAATTACCTGAATCTCTACATCACATACCTGCTCGATTATGCTTACCTAAAGCAAATTGCCTACCATCTACATNTTTTTCCGGATTTATCTGTAACCGAAAAAGCAAATGCGCCATTGGAATCAATGAAGTCGCCCCGGAGCGCCAATTAATTTTTATTGTTGTTTTTATTTCATTTTCAAAAGTGACTATAAATGAAATGGGAACGAAAATATTGAATTTTATGACACAGTTTTTTATTTCATCTTCGAGTATTCTTCATTGAAAGTATTATCTGGAGTCAATCTTGTTACTGAAAGTATGAAACAAAATTAATTAAATATTAACATATGATTAATGGTATTATTACCTCAGAAGCTTTTGTTGGATCAGTTTGAGTACAATCAATTCAGTCTATACTTGACTTCATTCAACCTTCCTCTCAAGTTTTGAAAGATGCAACAGATTACCTAAGCGAACCCATAACGTTTGAATTTAGTAGCTAGATTAGGAAGAGGTATGTATGTAGAAATCTTTTTTTAATAATAAATTGAAGTTGTATAGATTGAGTATTGTAGAATAAATTGAATATTTGAAATGATTCTTTAATCCAATTTGCTATATTTTTTATTTTCATAACTGTATATTAATAAATAATGCATTAAATCATAGTTTAGGTAAATATTTTGTGATCTATCGACTTTGTGTACTGATTTTAGATATAGAGCTCATTTCCAAACATGATTTTTCGTGTACATTTTATTCCATGTGGAGAATGTTTCATTAATTGAAACGTTAGCGGGTTCATATACACTTCCATAATTTAATTGATGATTATAGGCTACGTAAATTTTACGATTTGGCAATGTTGATTATTTCTATTATTCCTATTGGTCAATCGAACAAGAAGCGGGAATAGGATATATTAATTAATTACGGGAAAACTACGGTACTTAGAGAGATGAAACAAAGTGCACTGTTTTTCAATTTAAAATTTCTATCAAGTAAACTATAAACTAAAAATCATGAAACAAGCCCATTGTGATATGTTTGATGATCATTCGATGAGTCATAGATAGGTCGTTACAGTAAAAATCTTACTAGAAATTAGACAAAAGTTATTTTCTCCATCCTATATTTAATATGAATTTTCACAAAATGATTTGGACATCAATCGAACAAACTATTTCAATAAATATCAAGCACGAACAACAATGTCAACGTGAAGTTTGTAAACAATAAAGAATGATCTCACAGGCCTTCTTTCAACACCGTTGCCACGTGTGTAGTTACAACGATATGTTCGAGTAGGAACAGGTAATATTGTAATTAAATATTCTCGATAGAACTTCGCCGGACGATTGATTGATCTTTGGACGGAAACTGCTGTGTGTTGACTTCATGCTGCCAAATATAATCTTGTGGTTGTGTTAAATGTATTATTTATGTCATGTGCGTCACTGGTTGAAAAAGTTTGGGGTGAAATCGGATTGGTAATTCTCGTAGAATTGAATTAAAAAAATTAAAAAATTGTCTGCATATTTCCTATTCACGACGCAAAATTCGCCAAGTTGTGGTCTGCGAAAGGCCAAGTTCTTGTGAGCGACGCGAAACCGACTATCTCGGATTCTCCTGCACACTCTCAGAGGCAGCGGCCATGTTTTCGTCAGATCTTGCATTTGGTCGATCGTTTACTGAACCAGTGGACTTAAATTCATCCACCACATTGCGGTAGAACGATTATGGCTTCAACAAGAGGGCGACAGCTGGTTAACGGAAATAATTTAAGTAATTATTTTGCGGAGTTTTCCACATCATATCCTGAAGTTTATCCTTTACTCCTATCCCCTTCTATTGCTTCCTCCCCAATTCTGGCTGTGGGAAGTCGAGCAAAAAAATTAAATGACATTATGTACCAAATTATTTATGTTTTTGCCAATTAAATAGGGTCTTAAAGAAATAACAATTTTCAATTGAAATGGAATTTGAATTGGAATGGACTACCGTGAAAACTTTGGAAATGGTGAAAGTTCGGCATTCCTCCTCTACCTGACTCTGGATCTAACGGATCTTCACCGTTATCAAACTGTTTTCTTTTTTCTTCATCTGTTAACACCTGAAATTAAATAAAATATAGTGTAAATTTCACCACCACCTTTCTGATTTTGCAAATGGTAAACAAGTATAGAATAATAAAATTTCTATAACTTCACCTCAACTTGTCACATTTGTCTATTATAAAGAGCATTTCTTTGATGTCCCCCCCTTTTATTTCTTGAACTCAAACTCAAAAAATTGAAATTTGGTATAATGAAATTATTGCATGAATACTTTATTTTGAAGTGAAACTGACAGAAATATAATGATACTTTATCTTGAAAACAAGAGCTAATATATAATTTTTATGGTCACTTTCGGTTTTAACACGTGGAAATACATTAAAATCATCTAATTTCAACCCCGAAATAAAAACTTTGTTGTTGTGTAATGTTATGCTTATTTATGAATCCAAGTAGTCGTTTTTTAACTAATGATTAAGTCCCAGCCAAAGGAGTCTTGTTTAAATTGAAAGGGTTTTATTTTTAGGAGTGATCTATTTTAGGGAAAGAATGTTTTTGACTTTCTACTACTCTCATCTTGATACAAAAAAATGTAGGAATCTTCCAAAGAAAGGAAGGGTTACTTCTTTTAAAATTGATTGCTTTCTCCATCAAGGTGGAGTAGTTGAAAGCCAAAAACTTTCTCAGGTTTTATGATATATTTAGCTCCTCTATTTTGTAACCCTGTGAATAAAGTGTGTATTATTTTTGCAGATAAAGACTTACTAGAAAAACCGTTGGCAACTCTGTGGAAAAACTACACTCAGTCGTCTCGCGCTGATATAAGGATGCAACTAACGGTGAGTGGCGGTGGACTAAGGGCCACTACTAAGGATCATGGACTAACTGAATATTGGGCTCATCGATTAACAACATGCGCAACTCTGCCGCAGTTTCCAAGGCTCTTTTGTTGGGTTTACAGACACGAAGGCAAACGATTAAGACACGAACTAAGGTGTCACGCAGTAGTATGCTCTACTTCAGCTGTAGCTAAGCAAATTGAAGACGAGTTGAAGCACTTTCTAGCGCTTGCACTATTCGAATTCAAAAGGGATAAATTATCTAGGCAAAACGCCAGACTTTCGTTGGTCAATTCGGTCTACGAGAATCCAACCATACCAAGACGGAAAATCCTGCTCAGCACCGGGTCGCACAACTATAAACCTCCTCTTGAACGATCGAAATCAGCACCCAAATTAACCAGTATCGAAGAAATTATCGAAGAGGAGGATGATGCATTTGAGAGCCCAAAAAAATTGTACAAAGAAATTTTGAAACGTTGCGATATCACGGATGATCTACCCAACAGGAGAAAATATTATCTGCTGAACAGGTTTCAACATCATTATGCGGTTATCCCTGAAATGTCTAGTATATGTAGGACTCCAGTTTTGGATAGAAACGAAGTTGGAGAGAACGGTTCCGATTTGAATAAAAATGAGAGTGATGCGATATTAGAACAGTTGAAACAGGGTTCCCTGAGCAATGACCTGTTGGAATCGTGTGAGAGAGCCTGGTTCAATGCGTTGATCTTTGTTTTGTATGGC